AAAAAAAAAAAAAAAAAAAAAAAAAAAAAAAATCCTGTCCATGACTGTTTCATGTGAAACCAGTGTACTAGAATTTACAGAATTTTGTACTATTGTCTGTTGGGGGAAAAATCCTATGATCAGAGAAGATTGGGAAACACTGACTTGTCTTTCGGCTCAGCTTTGCGTTTGCAGTTCTTCTTGGCCACTGCACAGCATGTGGACCCGCCACCAGAGCCTCAGACTTCTCCGAAGTCAACCTCATCCTCCCCCTGCCTATCACGCCCTGGTTCTCTTTCCATCCTCTCTATTACTGAGGCCTTTAAACCTAGGAGCCTTTTTTTCCCCCCACCTCTTTCTCTCCATCCATCAAAAGCTGAGTTTTACCACTGGGGCAGCCTGGCTGGGCGTGGTTAGGCTCACCGTCCTCAGTCTTGTGAACCATTCTTAGGTGCATTCTTGACTGCGCTGTGCCCTGTGCCTCGGTTCCTCCCCTCCAGAAGAAGTGGTGACGCCGAGGCTGCTCTACACAGAGCTCAGGACAGGCCCGCAGGCCTGGGTCCTGGGTCCCAGGCCCCGGGTTGGAGCCCAGGAACAGATGCTTGGGGATCAGCCCTGCAAGAGCTTCCCCACCAGTGTGGAGAAAAGAAAATGACTCTCTCCCTATTCACTGTGCAGATCAGGGACATTTTTCCAATGTTCACAATAGTACTAAAATATAAGACATGGTTGAATTTCTCTCTCTCTCTCTCTCTCTCTCTCTCTCTCTCTCTCTCTCTCTCTGACTGGATTTTGAGCAGTGCCTTCCATTACAGGTTGCTTTCTCTCTTCCCAGGCTATGCCCTCTCCAAAAATGCACATCTTTACTCCTGGATAGGAAGAACCAACATTGTGAAGATGGCCATACTCCCCAAAATTGTTGTATAGATTTAGTGCAATCCCTATGAGACTACCACCAACATACTTCCCAGACCTAGAGAAATTGTTCCTAAAATTTATCTGGAACCAAAAAAGACCTAGAATAGCAAAGGCAATCCTGACCAACAAAGACGAAGCAGGAGGCATTACAATTCCTGACTTGAAATTATACCACAAAGCTATTGTAATAAAATCAGCATGGTATTGGCAACAAAA